TTCGTATGACCCCGCTGGTGCAGTTCCTGGGGGCTTGGCTAGAGCTCCCCGGCCTGTCCCGCTGGGTCATCAGAACGATCAGATTCGGCTACGCGATTCAGTTCGCATGGTCTCCTCCCCGTTTCAGGGGAGTTCGCTCCACGATGGTCGGTGGCTATGCCCCGGTCATGAGAGCGGAGATTGCGACCCTGCTGGCGAAGGGTGCAATCGAGACGGTCCCTCCAGCCGAGATGAGGTCCGGGTTTTACAGCCCCTACTTCATTGTCCCCAAGAAGACCGGTGGGTTACGACCGATCCTGGATCTGCGCATTTTGAACCGTACTCTCCATCGACTACCGTTCAAAATGCTCACAGCCAAACGCATTTTCGAATGCGTTCGGCTTCAGGATTGGTTTGCAGCGATCGACCTGAAAGACGCGTACTTTCATGTCTCCATTTTGCCTCGACACAGACTGTTTCTTCGGTTTGCTTTCGAGGGCCAGGCATATCAGTACGCGGTTCTCCCATTCGGGTTAGCTCTGTCCCCTCGCGTCTTCACGAAAATCGTCGAGGCAGCCCTTGTTCCCCTTCGCGAACAGGGGGTTCGCATCCTGAACTATCTCGACGACTGGCTGATACTGGCACACTCTCGAGAACAGGTTTGCGAACACAGAGACCTGGTGCTTCGGCACCTAGCCCGTCTGGGCCTTCGGGTCAACTGGGAAAAGAGCAAACTTTGCCCCGTGCAGAGGATCTCTTTTCTCGGCAGGGATCTCTTTTCTCTGCATTCTCGCCATGTCCGCGCAGCTCACGAACGAGCGCGCGCACTTACTGCTGACTTGTCTTCGACAGTTCGAGGGCAAGAGTGCGGTTCCACTGAAACTGTTTCAGAGGCTCCTGGGGCATATGGCATCCGTGGCAACGCCGCTCGGTTTGCTTCATATGAGACCGCTTCAGCTGTGGCTTCGCGATCGAGTCCCGAGGTGGGCATGGCATCGCGGCTCGCTCCGAGTTCCAGTGACTCCAGCGTGCCGCCGAACCTTCTTCCCGTGGTCGAACCTCAGCTTTTTACGGGCAGGTGTCTCTCTTCAGTGAGTTTCCAGGCATCTCGTTGTCTCCACGGATGCATCTACCACGGGTTGGGGTGCCATGTGCAATGGGTATGCAGCTGCGGGTTCCTGGACAGGACCCCAGCGCCTCATGCACATCAATTGCCTCGAGCTGCTAGCAGTACGCCTGGCCCTGCACCGCTTTCGAGCACTGCTCAGGGGTCAACACGTACTTGTCCGTTCAGACAACACCACTGCAGTAGCGTACATCAACCACCAGGGGGGTCTACGCTCACGCCGGTTGTCGCAGCTCGCCCGCCACCTCTTGCTATGGAGTCAGAAGCACCAGAGGTCCCTTCGTGCAGTGTACATTCCAGGAGACCAGAACCTGGCAGGCGACGAGCTGTCACGGGTCCGCCCTATCTCCGGCGAATGGCGACTCCATGCCCAGACGGTCCAGCTGATTTGGGACTAGTTCGGGGAGGCACAGATAGATCTGTTCGCCTCTTGGGACTCATCCCACTGCGCCCAGTTTTATTCCCTGACCGAGGGTACGCTCGGCACAGATGCACTGGCGCAGAGCTGGCCGCAGGGCCCACGCAAGTATGCGTTTCCCCCAGTGAGCCTTCTTTCACGGGTGTTGTGCAAGATCAAGGAGGACGACGAGCAGGTCTTGCTGGTAGCCCCCTATTGGCCCACCAAGACGTGGTTCTCCGAACTCAGGCTCCTCGCGACAGCACCTCCTTGGCCTATTCCTCTGAGGTCTCACTCAGAGACGGAGCATCCTGTGGCACCCTCGTCCCGGTCTTGGAGGCTACGCGTGTGGCTCCTGGACAGGACGAGGCAGGTTGAGTTCGCTGCCACTTGCGGTGGCGGCAACCATCACTTCCGCTAGAGCGTCGTCCACGAGACACCTCTATGCGTTGAAGTGGAACCTCTTCGTCAACTGGTGCTCTTCTCACGGAGAAGACCCCCGGAGATGTTCGATCGTTGTTGTGCTTTCCTTCCTGCAAGAAGGGTTGGAGCCCAGGCTGTCGCCCTCCACCCTTAAGGTTTACGTCGCGGCCATTGCCGCATCTCATGACGCAGTATAAGGTAAGTCCATCGGAAAGCACGACCTGGTCATCAGGTTCCTGAGGGGAGCGAGGAGGCTTAATCCGCCTCCCTCCCCTCGTGCCCTCTGGGGTCCTCTCAGTAGATCTAAGTGCTCTGCAGAGGTCTCCCCTGGAGCCTTTGCAATCTGTAGAGTTTTGGTCCTGTCCTATGTAGACAGCACTCCTGGTTGCATTGGCCTCCATCAAGACGGTAGGGGACCTGCACGCATTCTCCGTTGACGAAGCGTGCCTGGAGTTCGGGCCGGCTTACTCTCACGTGATCCTGAGACCCCAGCCTGGATAAGTGCCCAAGGTTCCCACCACTCCCTTCCGGGACCAGGTGGGGAACCTGCAAGCGCTGCCCCTGGAGGAGGCAGACCCAGCCTTGGCACTGCTCTGTCCGGTACGTGCTCTCCGCACCTACGTTGACAGAACGCGGTGTTTCAGGACCTCAGACCAGCTCTTAGTCTGTCATGGGGGGAGCCAGAAGGGAAGGGCTCTCTCAAAGCAACGGCTGTCTCACTAGTGGACGCCATTGCTTTGTCTTACCAGCAGCAAGGCCGTCCGTGCCCCCTTGGTGTGACGGCCCACTTCACTCGGAGCGTGGCCTCCTCTTGGGCTCTAACGCATGGCGCCTCGCTAACAGACATTGCAGAGCTGCAGGCTGGGCGACACCAAACACCTTCGCGAGATTCTATAATCTGCGAATTGAGTCGGTGTCCTCTCACGTACTCGCTTCCGCCAGTACTGGACCTGCTTAGGTGTCTTTGCTTGCTCGCCATTCCACTCCTCGGATTGGATAAGTGCGATATTCCTCAGTAGTTTTCCGTTGAAGCCTTGAGTCCTCCAGCACCGACAATGCGAGCACCACTGCTGTTGCTCTGGATGCCGGCTAGGTGCCTCCATGTGCACGGTTCCCTATGGTAACTGTCTCATGTGTATTATCCACTGTAAGCCTCTCTGAGCATGTGTCTTCCCTTGGCAAGCCATCTGCCAACCCTGGAGTTAAATTCTAGTAGCCACCTGCGGTTGGTGCTCCAGTGATCTCCATATGTGTTCCTATGCGGCCATATGTGTATTTATAAGTCCTCCTTCGGTAGGCATCTGGTAGCATGTCCCTCCCGGGATATATTTCCCAGTGTATCTTGGTATTCCTGTGTCAAAGTAGGATCCCTGGTTAAGCTATGTTCAGGGGTCCAGACTTTCGCAGGGCACTGGAAGACAGCTTGAAGATGGCGTGATGGTACTGACCCCCATTCTCCGTCACTTCTGACGTAACTCAAAGTGACTACGAAAGGGAACATCTCAGTTACAGATGTAACCCTCGTTCCCTGAGTAGGGAACGGAGACGTTACGTCTCCCTGCCACTTCTGCTGTACCGCTGGGTAGACGCCGGAGTTCAGTCTTGGCTCCTCAGCGAAGACATACTGCGGTTGCGTTCACTCCCTCCTTTTATACCCACAGGGTGGGGCGGAGTTACGCTATGCAAATTCCGCAGCCCCAAGGCATTTTCATGCCATTGGCTCGTTGTTAAATACTCGAAGAGGATTGGCTTTCTATAAGAAACCCCCATTCTCCGTCACTTCTGACGTAACATCTCCGTTCCCTACTCAGGGAACGAGGGTTACATCCGTAAAGGAGACGTTTCTAAGCAATTTGTTAATAAATTGCAGGACAGCGTTGACAATAAGTTCTTAATGATTCTGTGAGTGACTCTGGTGCAATCTGTACGTAATGTGTTAGCTACGCGTTTAAGCTAAATGGAAGCAGCGCGTTAGTTTAGAATGGCAAATCACTTTAAACACACAAAAAGTTTAAAACGAGCATTCCCCTGATCAAAATTGAGTATGCATAATCTTGCATAAAGATTTGAGCTGTGCACTTGCAAGGTTGAGGCGATGGGGTTGAGAGTGTGAGCTGGTCAGGACTGAATCTGCACCACGGCCCTGGCTTACTGAAGGCCTGCTGTGGTGGCCTGATGCTGAAGGAAGGCCCGTTCCTTCGCGGGAAGAGGAAGGCATTGCCCAAGATGCAAGCTTGGTGCTTGACTGGCCTTATTGTCCATTTCTCTATGGTACGAATGATTGGGATAGAGAAAAACCCAGAAGGAGATCGCAAATGTTTGCTCGCGGTTGTGAAGGTACAGTAGGCCTCTGCATTCTGGGATCCATTTTTTTAGCTTGACGCCCACGAGATAACTCCAGTGGTTTTCGTTAAAGATTTCTCAAGGACGAAAGATTCTTCATCGGACGGGAAGAGCTCGATTTGAGAAACTGCTCACTGCATAACAAATGGGTAGAGCTTAAAGGTAGCTCCTCCTTGCTAGAGCTCCAGCGAGGAGGAGTGAGTGTAAGTTGGGTCTAATGGGTGGAGCTAGAATATCTAACCACACCCTAACCCTACCCACAACTCTGTGCTTCCACCCCCTTGGAGCTCCAGAGAGGAGGAGCTGGACTAATCCCACCCCATTGGAGCTCCTTACAGGAGGAGCTTGCTGTCATTTGCGGGGCCAAATGCTGAAAACTGTTGAGGAGCATAGGTGAATTTCATATTTCATATTCACATTTTACATGTATGTTTGTCTTTTATTTTGGCTTAGCTGAAGCTCAGATTCAATTATGTGATTAATGACAATTTATGTAGAAAGTTAAAGAGTTCATATACTTTTTTCTGCATCTATAAATATTGCTATATTCCTTTTGAACCAGAAAATTAAATCTAAGATCTTAACACTGATCTGCAACTCCATGGCCCACATTATGTCTATATGAAGGCCTCTTTCCCTGAGATACTTTGTAAATGTCCATTGACATCAGATCTAGTCAATAAGAGAGCGAAAGGTTCATTCCCTGTTTCAGAACATCTATGTCACAATCACCTTTTCTCCTCTTTCCCCTACATCGCCCTTGTCTCCCTTTAAGCCTGGTAACCCCTGCAAAAATACAACTTCAAGTAATTACAAATGCTTGGAGGCTCATCGGTTCAGGGGTAAAGAAGTTCACTGAATGTGTTTAGATCTACTAGAGGGCAGAACGGTTGCAGGAAGTGACCCAGAAAACAAAGGACATGAGTCAACACACAAGCAGAACATTAAGATTGATAACTCACATCCACTCCAGGTGTTCCAGCAGCTCCCTTCAAAAAACAAGGAAGAAAAAGAAACAAAAAATTATTAATATTCTCTGGAACGAAAATAGTGAATAATGTGAGCATTATTGAATTGCCAAATAATTATCAATGTTTTTTTTTTTTAATTAAACATTAAAAAAAAATCTTTGAGTACTTACAGGTAACCCATATGGCCCTCTGGGTCCAGGATCACCAACATCACCCTTCTCACCCTGTGACATTGAACAACAGCTTTTATATAAACGATATGTTGTATCGTATTCATAGTTTCTATCCTTATTTTTGTAATTGCACACAATTATCCAGCTAAGACAGCAACAAAAACAGCAACAAACATAAATAAAACAAAATAAAATAACATACTCCATCTCCCTTCGGACCTGCTGGACCAGGAGCCCCGATTGGTCCATCCATACCCTATAAATAAGAAAGTGTATGAGGTTTTGAATCTGGTTTTATAAAAAAAACTTGGGTAACACTTTAGATAACAGCCCGAACTACATAATAAAATCATAATCAAATTTACAGTGTAATTTTTGGTAATTATAATGTTGTAACGGTTGAAATGTTACATGAGTTTTTAGTCTGTACTTTCTGACTTATCAGGAAAGTTACCTGGGTCAAGTAGTACCTCTAATTGCCATGTGAGGGCACTAGTGAGTGGTGGCTACTAGATATAAGCCTGATAACCATTGAAGAAGTCAGTTCAGTTTGGTAGAGGGAAACCGCATGGTTCTTCTTGTTTGCTACCTGCTTTACCCATTTGAAGTCCTGGTTTGAGAACTCAATGAGTTTATGCTCAAATGTGAGTATATAATAACTGCAAATCTCTGGATGTAATTGTAATGGAAAAATGTCTGATGTTAGCTGTTTTGTTTTCTTTTGTAGAAAGGACTTTTTATGATTAGACACTTATCACCATAGTGTCAACCCACTCTTGTTGTTTTGCATCGTTTGGCTGATCTATTTCATGTCTACTGGAAGAGAGATGTTGGAAGCTGGATTTCAGTACGTTGTAGCAAAGGCACCAACTTTTCAATCTTCACCTCTTACTTATACTGGATAATTGGATAATATCATTGCGTCGATCTCAAAAATCCACTGGGTCATACTCATCCATTCACCATCCTCATTTCAACTCCTCCAAAGGCTGGACACTGACGATAAGTTGTCTATATGGTGGTTTGATTTACAAAGAGACAAAGACTGTTGGTTTCTTTATATTGTTTATTGTTGGGGCAATTATAGGCACGTGTGAAATAAAATAGAAAAATTTATATTTGTTGAGTGAAGTGGTTTTATTTCAGTACCAGTCGAAATTCTGTTGAACCTCCTCAGAGTAACACCAGAGAAAGAAAGAGAGGTGTTACAATGTACCTATAAAGTACTTGCATATAAGTATTAGGGAACAATATGTAAAGTTTTGGAAATAAAGTGGTAACAACCAGGAGAATTAAAAATATATTGGTAACACTTTACAATAAGGTTCATTAGATAACATTAGTTAATGCATTAACTAACACGAAATAACCATGAGCAATACATTTGTTACAGTATTTAATCATCTTTGTTAATGTTAGTTAATAAAAATCTAGCTGTTCATTGTTTGTTCATGTTAGTCCACAGTGCATTAACTAATGTTAACAAATACAACCTTTGATTTTAATAACGTATTAGTAAATGTTGAAATTAATATTAACTAAGACTAATATATGCTATAAAAGTGTTGTTCCAAAAATGGTGCAGGGCAAGGAATACTGCCAGTGCTCGAATTGAGGGGGGGGCTGGGGGGATCCGGGACCCCCCATAAGGTATTAGGGACCCCCCATAAGAAGTAAAAAATAGAATTAGGGGGGTCCCTCAGATATTTTTATTTTAGTAAAAAATAATAATAACAAATCTGATTAAATGCATGCAATGGATACGGTAAATTTCGTGAATTGATTATTTACAATATTTTTTTTTAAGTTGGCTAGTTGCCATGTCGGTTTAAAATGTAAACGTCCGCCCCACATCTAAAGAGTGCTGTGCGCATGACATCGTTGACTGACAGGACTGTTTGATTGGCGCCGCTCCGTTGAAGCTAATTTTAACTTTTAAAAAATGGAGAAAGATAAACCTCCACTCGAGGTCAGGAAGAGAAAGCTTCTTACCGACTTTTTTGAGGGGTAATTGTCTCTCTTTATATATCTTTCTACTTTATATCTACCCACACCATCGGGGCTTCTGTACTCCTTGCGTAAATTGGAAACATTTAAGCTAAGTTACTTTTTTTCCCATTATTAATGGGCTATATGCACGCATAAGTTCCGCATTTGACGCAAGGATGCTCGTCTATTTCCGGTTGTGTAGATTAAAGCGGAGGAAAACAGGAGAAAACGGGATTATGGCAGAGTCTTTAATAATTACTGTCCTCCCGTCTTTGAAACGAAACGTACATACGTTTAGATGTAATTTTATATACAGTTATGTTTATTTGATATAATTTTAAAAAGAAGCATAAACACAACGAGGGATGTCTGTTTTATCTGTTTTTGTGACTAACGTTTCATTAGTATAACCATGGAGTATAAAATTCAATATAAATTCTCGCTATTGCATTGGACTCTATGATCGGCGGAAGTTATCGAGCATCCCTAATGCTTCACCGGAAATACCGCCGTGCATAGAGCCCATAGCCCTGGTTCTACGGGAGTGCTATCTCGACAGTTTTTCCGCGAAGGGAGCGATCGTTGTGTGCTTTCTAATTTCCATTCAGAATTTATATAAAACTTGTTTTTCATGCTGCCAGGATCGGCCACGTAAACACAAAGTTTTGGGAATTACATACGCATTTATGCGGGATTCACTCTTAAAATAGCAATAATTGACATCGATTGGCATGGCATTGTTTGTTTCTGAATAAAGCAGGCTTTTTCACTGAAATCATGGTCGTTGAATAGTTGCTGACCTACTGAGTGCCTTTCCGCCACCTACTCATGGGCGTAGGAGCCATTATACGATTTCAAAATCTAAGTTTTGCCCCCCCCCCCACTATTTCCCAATATAAGATTTTGTCTCTGCCAATTTTGGAGTCTCCCAATTAATCCATTCTGCAACTTTTAAATACATAATTCAATTTTTAAAAACTCCAGCTGCTGTCAGTCGACCATGATCGCGGCATCGCGCACTGCTCGCGCATGCGCATCTAGGTGACACGGATAAATGTACGCAATATGTTCCTGGGAGATCTGTAGTTGCACGTAGGGATGGGTACCGAAACCCGGTATTAAACGGGCCCCGGTACTGAATTTTGAAAGACCGCTGTATCGATAAGCTCGGACGTTATCGGTTCTGCTGTCGGTACTGGAGAATTATTTATCATTCCTATAAAGACGTTATCTTGAACATGTTTATATCGCCAGCCTTTTCTATATACAGTATAAACTGTATTTTAATTAAACCATTTGTCTGTGATGCAAATTTGAAATTCGCAGTTCAGAAGAGAGAGAGAGCGATCTCTCACGCAAAGCCACAGCACGCGCAACACGACAGCCCTTGCTTAATGAGTGACAATGAGGACAGAACTAAACATTCAACGTGGTTACACTTTAGATGTGGGATATTATTCTAATGTATTTTGTATTTCGGCTTCCAAAGATTATAAAAAGAAGATATTTGAGATAAAACCGTTAAAAATCAAGACGCATGATCTGTCCAGCTTCGTCCTTTAGCCTACTTCACAGCACTGCGGAGCGCTGTCAGTTCTTCCTAAAACCCAAACGTACCGTCAGAATCAGCACGATCGGCGATTGTTGAAAAATGCTGTCTTCTACTGTTGCAAGATCAAAAAATGGCTATTAAAAACACAAAAGCCTGCGCAAGAGATGCTGTTCACAAGGCGGTGCGCGCTCCGAAACGGACTGCAACGAGACAAGAAAAGTAGCCTATACTTGGGCTTTGTGCGTCCTTAACTATCAAATATACATACAAATGTCAAAATGACCAGCTCTGAGATTCACTTAAACACAGTTTATTCACTTAAACACAATTATGTCTTAAATGGACGTAAATAATAGGGAGAAAATGATGGTGCTTCAGTTACCTATTAGATTTGCTCTCGGTCTTAAAGGGGCAGCAGTCTAATAGCCTAAACGTGCTGACGATTCAGCCATTAATGCAAATCAAACAACAAAAGGGAAAGAAAATCACTCACAGCTTTTGAATGAGTAACTTTAGATTTAATAAGCATTAATCTATCTATGATAAACTATACAGTGCTATTTTATATTTGATTACTAAATTAGGTTTCTTTTCAGACAGAAACAATTACCTCAAGGGATATGTTAGTACACCTTCCTGAAATTAAAGCACTTTGTATATAATTTGTATCTTTCATTAATTGTATTCTTGTGTTTGTACTTGTTTTTTTTCTTATGTGTCCTTTTTGTATATAAAACAAAAAAAGCCTGCACATTGCTGCATAACAAAAATATATTTTTCTTCGTTTTGCTTTTTCTATTTTACATTTCAAAATATAGAGTTTAATTATGTTCTTAATTCTTAAAAAAAAAAAAAAAAAAAAAAACACCAAAAAGAACCGATAAGAATACCGTTAAAGTACCGGATCGATAAGCGGTATCGGTAAGAGTAGTAATACCGATAAAACCTTAACGATACCCATCCCTAGTTGCACGGGATGTGGAAGCGCGCAAAAGTTCCAAAAATTAGGGCTGGGTAATAAATATCGATTACTCGATATTAATCGATTCTCATTTTTACGAACCGATATCGATTCTTAAGTCTCAAGAATCGATTAGTCATCCTGTTTCATTTGAATGAATGGGACATTGTATCGCGGCTGCGCGCATTCAAAAAATCGCAATAATCTTTGTCCTTTGTTACCATTGATATGAAACAAAGTCTCAATTTTCAAATTACGTCCATTTTCTTTAGAAATTCAAAAACATAGAGTTTTGGCGCTGTGGCGTGAGATCGCTCTGGCGCAGCTCTAGAGAAGCAGCAGCATTGATCTCTCTTCCGGGTTAATAATACCAGTCACAGCGCGAAATAAACATGGAGCATCTGAAAGTGTGTTAAAAGATAGAGTACAACTTATCGAAATGCGTATCATGTCACATTCATTCGCTCAATCAGCGTTTCAACCGTGGAAAGACGTCAGTTAAACAGCTTGTAATCAATGTCTTGTCATGTATCGTCATATTTACCTCAGAAGACCCACATCAACTCGTTAGTCAGATAGAAAAAAATAACTCAGAGAGGAGCATTTTGCTAAATACACTATATTACATATGCATTATAATCTTAAAGTTCTTCAATATTTAATGCATATTTTAATAAATCTGGCAAGTTTTTATGACAACCACCATTTAAATGTTTATATTTCATATAATCTTCTTATTATAAAAATAAATAAA